CGCACTAGGTTCGCTAGCACACCGCCTCCGGGCTGCCAGCAGCTCCTCCTGCTCCTTGCACCCAGCACAGCTGGAAGGCACAACGTGCTGCAAGGGAACCCTTTGCTTCCCACCGTTGTCCCGAAACCACGAGTCACGCAGCCAAAACTACTGCCCCGCGCGGCATCGAGAGGGAGAGGTGCCTCTCACTGGCTGGAGCCTGCCAGGCCTCAGACGAACCTTGCATCTCGGAGCGTGAGCCAGGAGCAAATACCCTGAGAAAAATCGAGGTCTGGCTCTTGCTAGCAGAGCCATTCCTGGATCGCCCGGTTTCCAGCTGGGAACTCCACCACGGGACCCCAGTTGCAACCGTAAAGTAGAGCATAAGGCAGCCCGGGGGAGTTTATGGCGGAGGCATCGCTGCTGGAGTGGGAAATGCATGATAAACCACGAGGTGGGTGGCAGTGGGCAGAGCAACCGATGGCACCGACGAGGCAGCTTTGCCTCCAGCTCGCTGTTGGGACGCAGGCACGCTGGCATCCCAAATCAGGCCGACGGCCCCACAGAACGGGGAGGCGGCTGTGAGGGCAGTGAGCATCGGTTCACTCTGTTCTTATAGATTTAGCCTTGAACAAGTGCAATTTTTCCATAAGGGGAAGGAAGAAACGGAACCTCCTCATGAAGTCCAGCCCAGCGGATGTCGCAAGGTTATCCAAGGGTTTAGAAAGAGAGAGGCTTTTACTGCCAGAGGGAAGAGGCTTCCTTCGAAAGGGGAAGGTGTCGAGAGGCACACATGCAGGGGAGGGACTGCGGGGGAGCCTGCTGCACCAAAATCAACACCACTCCTCCTCCTCCTCCCTTCAAAGCCCCTCCAGCCTGCCAGACCTGCTTGTCACCATTCATTCATTCAGACAGATGACAGCAATGCTCACGTGTACGTGGCCTTCTGGGGGGGGGAATTCAAAAAATCCCACCGGAATTCATTAGCATATAAAATGCAATCACTAAAGAAGCAGATTTTACAAAATATAAACATAATATCCCATCACATTGCTTTCTGGTCTCTGAAATGGAAGGAGGAATGGAGGCAGCAGGCAGTGACGGCCACCCTCTGTACACTACGAATAGGAGTTTGTTTTCATCCAGGATGGACGAAGGGTGAGCGTGCCCATGGCAGGCACCGCCAGCTACAACTCTGCCCTTCCAAAACCCTGGTAATAAACAGCAATGCGTGGCGTCAGCACCAGCAGTGCTTTCACCGGGGCGGCCCCCTGCAGCCCCCTCTCCCCCGCTGCGCCCCAGCAGAGCCGGCTCCCAGCCAGCAGCGCTGGGCCGGCAGCACGCCCCAGCCCCCCGGTGCCCGGGGGGGGGCGGTGGGCAGGGGGGCAGCCCCTCACGCTGCAGAGCTGCCCGACACCCAGCGCAGGCGCTCGCTGCCCAAACCGGCGACAAACTCCACCCCAAGGGTGAAATGAAGCCAAAACCCAGCCGGTAATGACTTTCAGTGACCAAAGAATGAAAGTTGCAAGCAAATAAGCAAAATATAGTAGCTTTTTTTACAAAACAATTAATTTGGCGGGTGGGGGAAGCTGTTTTGACAGCAATTTTCCATTGAGAAAGGCTGTCTGGCTGGTTATGTATCTGGATTTGCTATATAACTGCAAGCTGCAGCCTTGGTGCTGCCCACCTCCTCCCGCTGCGCACCGGCAGTTGGTAGGACCCTTCCCGCAGCTTCCCCAGAGGGCTCCCCTCAGGCGAGCAGGCTGGGAGCAACCAAATACAAGGTCAGTCCTTTGGCCCAGAGCCTGCCCCAAAAGATCAGGCAGGCCATTTTTACTACACCTCTCAGCTTTGGCAGGAAAGGATCTATTCTCCTGCTGAGCAAAGGCATCGCTTCTCCATTCCCACCTCTTCATACAACAAAATGCTCTGCATCTGTACAAAATATTCTCGTCATAAAATAATGCCTGAACTATTTACAAAGAAAAGCTCAAATGAATGAAAGCATATCATTCACAACAGCAAGGTTATAGCAGCAGTTGCATGTCTTCAAAGATACCTGGCTTGATCTATGTTACATGCAGACATCAGCAGGGAGGCAGAGGAGATGGTAAAAAAAAATAAAATAATAAAACCCTCACCCATTCAGCAAAGTCCTTGATGTTGTCCTAGGAAGAGGCAGTCAAATTTGCGTTTCAGCTTACAAAACGTACAAGCAAGGGGTGGATGCAGCCAGGAGGGGATGGGGCAGGAGTACGCAGCTGTGTCAAACCCATCACCTCCTCACCGGTCCACTCCCTGTGTCAAGTCAGGGAAGAGGAGGCCAGGAGGTCCCCAGGTCCAGCTGGACACACGGGAAGCAGAGAGCCAGGGAGACACCTACGCTTCCCTGGCACTGCGCAGGGCTGCAGGCTCCCTCCACCTCCTTGTATCTGGTGAGTAGCAACAAACAGCAAGAGAGATGGCAGCACCCGTCACCAGGGAACTGATGGGTTGAAGAAGTCATGACGGAGGAGTGGGAAATGGGGCTAAGGATCCTCACCTCCACTAGCAAATTTGCAGCGGGTGGCTCTGGGCCTGGTACAGGTAATGGCACATTTAAATACCAAATCTGGTGACACAGAAAGGTTTTCCTATGAATCTTCTCAGAGAAAAGGCAACTGAAGAAAAATGACACCCATGAGGACCTTCCCTTCTACATGCTGCTATTATATGCCACAAAAGCTGAAACAAAGTTATGGAATATAAATACCAGAACAGATCCCTCAGTAGACAACAAAAATAAGTTACTATTTATAAAAAAATTTACATACAGCAAGAAATCTGCATATTTTTAAATAATTTTCTTTGGAAACACACTTCCAGTCAGAACTGACCTCCAAATGGTCATTGCTGAATGTCTTAATTGCTCAGAAGCTGGTACCCAAGGTAGAGAAAAACATCCTTAAATTTTTGGTACAACAGGAAACTTTGCTCCCCTTTGAGTTTTCATCTTCTTCCCCTCCCACCACATCTTCAGTGCTTTTCGGGAGGCTGTGGAGTGTGTTGACCTTGCCTGTGTTTAAACAAAATAGACCTCAACCTAGTGGCTTTTAACTTCTATATTCTTCTCTCCCTGCTTGAGTAAGACTTTGTATATGCACGAGGGGCAAAGGCTTGGCAGACTGTCAAGACCCAGCGACTGGAACTGACTTGGGCTTCATTTTGTGAGGGGAACTGCACTCAAAATGCACCCTGAAATGCACATGGGAGGCAATGAACACATTGCCTTCACTCCCTCCAGTTCCAGCCCTGGCAAGAAGAGCCTCCCAGTGTACTAGAAGGAAACCAAGATTAAATATGAAGTCTCTCTTGGAAACCTGTGAGAGATGGTCCATGGTCTGGCCATGTAATCCAGCAGATGGTCTGCTCCCCTTTCTGCTGCACCAGATGCCCGGTGAGACCCTGGTGAAGGCATGCAGGGGTCTGTTCTTCAGTTCTCCAACTAAGCAATGGGGACAAGAGCCCATCTCTTCATCAGTGAGAGCCATGCTGACAAACAGACTAAAGATTGTCTGGTGTTCAGAGGCGGTAATGTGGAGGACACCTAGGAAAGCATCCACTCAGGTCAGGAGAGAGGATTTCTGCAGTATCTATTTGGGATGCTCCATCCCTGGAAGTGTTTGAGGTCAGGTTGGATGGGGCTTTGAGCAACCTGATCTAGTGGAAGATGCCCCTGCCTGTGGCAGGGAAGGCTGGACTAGATGATCTTCAAAGGTCCCTTCCAACCCAAACCATTCCATGATTCTATGATTTGCTTTTCAGTACGAGCTGAAGCGTGAATTTAAATCAGTGGCACACATCGGCATGGCCTACCTTCCTGATGCTTTAACAAGCCTTTTTTTAGGGTAGTGAATTTGGCTGGGGAAAGCTATTAGAGAGAATTAAAAAAAAATTTCATCTTACAGCACAACCAAGGCATTGCCAACCAAACACAAGCCCTGGTCTCAATTCCAAATTTCCCAGCCTTCACAACAGCCAGGCTCTGGAGATGATCTCCAGCCCCAAAGGGAAAGCTCCTCTCAGCAAACCAGACCCTAGAGTTTAGCGGTATTTTCTGGGCTGTATGTTCTGCTGGGACCGAGGAGCCCCTGCACACCCCCACGGCCCTCCCCTGGTCAGGGGCAGACACCAGGCACTGCTCACAGATGAACTTCAAGCCCCTGAAGATCTTCCTGTGCTTCCCCTTCCCAGGGCAGAAACGCACTCCACCTGCTGACGCCAAACCCAAGTCTCACAGCCAAATCCTTTGCTAACGCCACGCAGCCAGCACACAAAACTGATGTGGGGAGAGGAAAATAGGCCCCTGCTTGAAGGGACCTGGGCTCCCTTCTGCTAGCCACCCCACCACTGCAGCCGCAACACTGGGGATTTCCGAGGCGAAGAGGTAGGACGGCTCTTTGGAGACACCCGTTCTTTTCAAGCCATTCAAGTACTTGCAACAGTTTTATGGCTAAACCTGGCAATCCCTCTGCTGAGCGTATAGTCAGCAGAAACATCTGCTGGCATTACCTGCGCGCTGGCAAATGGCCATTAACCCAAGAAGCAGTGACCACAAACCCTCCCAACATTTCACAGCAGCAGGGCGCTTTAAAGCATATGAGTACATAGTTAAAAAAAAGTTAAATGCAACAAAAACTATGAGACCTGATACTTTGAAGAATGCAAGTCTTGCAGGTGCTTTCTTAACCAGGTGAAAGCTGGTGTTTGGCGAGAGCCTTTTTTTGTGCGTACACGTGGGGTACAGCTCACATCGGGTGAAGGATGGATCTGGTCTAAGCCTGACAGTAGCACTGCAAAATCTGCTCCATGTATGATCAGGTAGAGTATCTGTGGGGAGGTAATTCCCAGGGCTACTGAAAGAAAGACCTTTGTGAGGTCTGGTTTCATAGCAGCATTTAAGGTTAACTGGCACACAGAAGCAGTTTTCTTTCTACACACTAGGGGAAAAAAAAACCAAAAACAAACCACCAGGAGAGGGAGGAAGGGAAGCGCGTAGCCCCAGATTAGCTGACAGTGTTGCCGGGAGTATACCAGAGGTGCAGCTTTCTTCCTTGTGATCCCTTTAGCTGTGCTACTAGGCAAGCTGCAAGCTGCAGCAACAGGGCTGGGGAGTCCCGCATTACACTTCCTTATTCCTGCTTTACTGATGAACCAGGTTACACCTGATTGAGGATCCCCACCACAAAGCTTCCTTCACTGCGGCGATTCCCCAATTGCCCGTAAACCAAACATGCCGTCATTTACAGCTGTCCAAACCAGCGTCCGTGTTTCTCTCCGCATCTGCTGAGGCCGTGTAGGTGGCCTCCACGCTGTGCCATATTCCATAAGTAAAGTAGATGATAAAGCCTGCGGAAGCCAAGGGGAGAGGGCACTGTTAGCTCTGTAAGGAAACAGAAACCACTACTCATGCCGACCAACACAGGTTACACCAGGGGTAAGTCCAGCCATCCTGATGGCTTGCTTCTAGCAGACTGCCACTACCTTCCTTAGGAAAAAGCCATTAACGCAGGCATCAGTCTTTAAAAGACAATCTATCCAGGCCCCCAATGGGGGGCTGATTATAGAATAAACCTCTTAGGCTTTTCAGTGAGTTCATTGCAGTCCATTCTGCAGAGAGCTTTCTCTCTCCGTTTGTGTGCCTACAGCATCCATCCCAGTAAAGTACATCTGCAACTGATGCTAATCTTAATAGTTTTCATTATAACACATTCCCTGGGCAATTCAGCCTTCTCCACATGGCTATTGGGAGCATCTTGAGATGGATCTCAGCTCCTTCAGCTCCAGAAGCACAAGCCCCACCACCCAGACTGCAGTTCAAGGCCAACCAACAAGACGCGCTGTATTGTTTCTTGTTGGCAAGAGAACCCATAAGATGGTTGACGGATTGTTGTTTTCTCCTCACAAAGGTTTCATGGCCCTCAAATTTAAAACAAGGCTTGAGACGTACTGCCTAAATGGCTTCAGTTAAGTCACCGAGGTTGCCAAAGGATGATGAGAGTGCCGGATCTCTCCCTGGAATGCTACAATAAATTTATAGTTAACAAAATCTAGTAACTTTGAACACAGAACTTTTTACCGTCTCAAACTCACCTATGAGCATCCAGACTGCAAACCGTATCCATGTGCCTAGGTCTAGCTGCATCATGAGGTAAACATTCACAAAAATACTCACAACAGGAAGAAGGGGCAAAAGAGGTACCTGAAAAAGAAAGAGGGATACATTACATCCACAGGGCAGATCAACGGGCCGGCAGGAACATCGCATTCCTTGTAAACGGGAAGTGACGGCTGTTACCAACTCTTCAGCTGCCAGATCTGAGAAAAGGCAAGGTTAGACCAAAATGGAGGACATCGATCCACCGTGGCAGAGGGATTTGAACAATGCTGTTCACCTGTTTTAAGAATGGATGTCCTTGTTTTGTGGTCTGGAAGGTGGCAAGAGGCAAATTTTAGCAGCAATACTAAATACTTGGGGGGGGAAGGAGAGAAGAGGAAAACCAAGGACTGGATCATTACAGGTACCTACTGAAGATCAGGAGAAGCAGGTAAGGAGAAGGCCAGGAGGGACCTGAAGAACTTTGTCCAGCAGGTACCAAGGCAATTGAGCAATATAGAGCAAATCATCCCAGAGCAGAAGAAAAAGAGGAAATATTCTAAGAGAGGAGTGCAGCTGTACCAAGAATGCCTTAATGATCTGAGCTACAAAGAAGAATGAGACAGTAAAGCCAAAATGCAAAAATCAGAATATAAAGAAATAGCACAGGCATGTAAAGACAAAATCAGAAAGGACAAATTATAACAGTAGAAAGGTTTGTGAATATGGTGAAACCAAGAGGAACGTGAACTTCACTCCTAAGGAAAAAGGAGATTTATAAAAAGAAACAGGCTGAAATGTTGTAGGCCTTTCTTGATTTAAGCTTCACCAAAAAAAAAAAAAATTATGATGAGCAGCTGTTCACAACATTAGAGAAAGGGGATGGGCACACAAATTAGAAAACGGAAGAATATTTTTCTAAATTAGGCTTTGTCAAGTCAGTAGGAACAAATGAGATTTCGCTAGGGGGGTGAGTTATGTACCCAGAGATTGCAGAAGTGGTCTCTGAACTATTAATAGGCATCTCGGAGAGCTCTTGGTAGACCGGTAAGGTCTCTAAAGACTGGAGAAGGGAGACAAATTACCTATTAAAAAGAAATACAGAAAAACAACTGGGGAACAAACCAGTCAGCCTTGGATTCCCAGAGAGACTTTGGAGAAAAATCACTAGACAGTTAGGTTGTAAGTGTCTAAAGGACAACAAGGAGATAAGAAACAGGCATTACGGATTTAGCAGTGACAGGTCTAATTTTTTTTTCTTGGACAGGGTAGTGGCTGAGGGGAAAAAAAGGAGGTAAAATATCGTGAGTGTAAAGCAGAGAGATCTCCTCAGAAGCAAGTTCAGAAAATACAGTCTAGAAGACAGTTCCTAAGTTTTCTGCTCCTGGCCATTTCTGTTTCCACTTCTGGGACCACAACCCCAAGATGAGCTGCAAACACTACCTTGGGCAACTCTGGTTGGATTAAGTTATTAAAATCAGAGAATTTACTGAAAACCTCTAATTGAAGAGCAGTCAAAATGAGAGCAGTTTGGAGGATGGGATTAAAATCCAAAGCTAATTTAATAAATTGGGGAAACAGCCTGAAATCAATATGATAAAACATGACTTGCAGGATTATACTGGGGGAAAAAAAAGTCATCCCAGTATTTGTTGAATATAGAAAGGATGGTGTGCTTCGACAGAGCAGGAAAATGACAGTTCCTCATACTTAAAGCTGTTAAAGAGAGAATGGTCATCCCTTAGTCTCCATGGGGAGACTAAGTAGGACATGAAAGTGCACTTTCTTAGAGCCATTTAGCGAGTACCTCTTTGATCCTCATACCAAAGCTCGGTTCTTGGGTTCTCTCACCTTCTGTATCCACAATCTGATGTGTCCCTTCAAAACCATGCCCTTTTTTCCTCTGGTCTCCGTCTCTTCCATATCCTATAACCATCTGCTTTCACAAGCACTGTCCTGCCATTCCCTTCTGGCCATGTCTCTGCACCAGGTTCTGCCGTCCCAGCTTCTCCTGGACTCCGGTGCCATTTACATTTCCTTCAAAGTCCTCTACTGTCACCTCTGACCTGACCATGTGTCGCTTCCCCTCCTGATTTCCTCCTCCAACCTCTCAGCTAACCCCTTCAGTCCTTCTTTCTGTGCCAAATCTGCTTCTGCCCTGCTGGGCAGCAGGCTTGCCATGACACTGCTTCTGACATGCATTCTGCAGGACAGCACCTACACTGACATTTGAGGTTAGACCCCAAGAGGAAACCACACTCAGAGGCTGAGCTCAGCTCTGGTAGGACATCTCTTTATGCACTAAGTGCAGACTATGAGAGGTTACAGCCACGCTAGCTGGAGAGCTCAAACCATCAGCTCTATTGGCAGCCCTGCATGGAAAAGTTCACATCACGCCTATCTTCCGTGCACGTCCATTTGGCCAAGTCCCTCCTTCTGATACAGGCCAACACGCACTTCCTCCTCCAACCAGCTCCCAAACTGCTCTTTTCTAGGTACACCTCCCAGGACACTCACCTTAAAGGAGAGCTTGGTTTTGCTTTCAGGCTGCTTCCATATAATGAAGCTGACAACAAGAACAAGGATGGCAGCAATAATCCATACAGCCTTTATCAGAATGCTTGGCTCAAGGGCAGTCAGGATACAGCTAACCACGATAAGGAAACCTGCGAACAGACACCAAAAGCTTACCAAGTCTTTTTTTAGGAACTGAAAAAAAAAAAAAAAAAACAATCCACAAGCAGGCGAAGCGGAATCTGAAAGCTCGGCAAACAAAACAGCAACACATGAAAAAGCTAACTAAGAAATATGCCCTTCCCCCTATACACTTCCCCCCACAATCTGTGGATTTCTTTTCAAGTCATAAATTTAATCTGTAGATCTTCAGTTATTTTGGCCATTGCAAGAGCTCATCAAAATTACAGCCAGGAGGTGAGCTTTCCCACCATGGTGAGTACAAGGACCTACCAGTTGGCTCACTGCCCAGTGCTTACCAATGATGAAGGTTGAGATGTTCACCACCGAGCCAGAGAACTTGGAAGGGTCCGCATTTGGGGGACACAGTATGGCTTTGAGGGAACATTTCTCCTCTTCCTCTGGCAGAAATCCAGTCTGCGACTCACTGGTGCTCACAGACTCGTTGTTATCCGTCTCCTCTGTTGTCCTAGCCATCTGGTATGCCAAATTAGGCTGCTCCGGCTGATACCTAGGAAAATGGTAAGAAGGCAAAGAGCATATTGGTTTCATGCAGGGTGCTGTACGTTTACAAGTCACACAGATAGCCATGGCTGCGCCCTAGTTCACTATGGCACCAGAACAGGCATGCATAACATCTACACCCTTCTGTTTCAGGGGGAAATCCGAGGAATAATGTCGTCATAACGCAAGCAAATATGGTCAACTATCATCACCTACAGCTTGGTTGTAATGTCAGTGTTTTAAACTGGACGGTGCTCTCTTTCATAAACCCTACCATCTGTGTCACCAAAACACGATGGTGTGATAGCAGTGAGGACCAGAGAAGGAAGCGGCAGAGGGACAGGCAGACGGTCGTAACAGGGCTGTTATCTGTGGCAATTCAGCTTTTGCATTTTGGCATGGAGGTGGCTGAGCTAACAGCTCAGCAGATATTGCACCCCGGCAGCTGCTGATTGCACCCTGTGGCAACATTCCTGGTGCCCCATCCTCCTCCATCCCAGTCTCTTCTGCTGGCTTGTCTGCTGCCACATAGGGAAGGAAGAGGTGAATGAAGAATGGTAATTTTTTGTTGCGTGTGTGGACAGCACCTCATTCAACAGGGCCCTGATGCACAACCACGTGGATCTATAAAGAAAAAACACTCTTCCAGCCTCAGCTCTCTTTCACAGAAGGTTTTGCCCATGACTCTCAGCCACAAGCCCGACTAAAGGAAAGGGCCATTTTGAAGCACACCTTAAAATCGCTCCTGTGGGGATGTGTTTGCAAAGAGGGCATTTGTGAAACACTGCAAATTGAGAAATGCAGTGAAATCCTTGGCTCCAGCCACAGCAGGGTATTAGTGGCAGGACCTTACACCTTTGGCAACAGTTCATCTGCTTCTTCATTACGCAGCCACCGGGGCAGCCAAATCACTGCCCAGGCTGCTACAAGACAGGCTATCAGCTCTGCAAATCTACAATGGGGAAAATTTCATACAATGGGTACAGCAGCTTGCAAAAATAAATTAAGAAGCCATTTACAGCTGTATGGAGAAGAGGGGATCGGGAAACCAGAGGAAAAGTAAGAAGGGCAAGGAAAATCATCAAGGATTTTCACGGGGCAGGGTGGACAGCACAGGCACAGAGCAATGGTATTACAGTACAGTGTTGGCCCTTCACCTGCTGCAAGACAGTTCTTAGTTCAATGCATTTGTTGCGAGCAGGCAAAAAGACTCCGCCAGACTTTGAATAAGTCATTGAACACAAAGGTATTTTTCAGTAACACGATCTTCAAAATGCAGTCCTCATGGGTAGAGTGCTGTTGCCCATGAGGTGCCAAGCAATGAAGATACTCAATTTTCAGCTTAGGTTAGGGAAGCTATGGGAGCTCAGCACTTCTAGAAGACATGCACTAAGGCACAGATCCTGCAACACATGCTCAGGTTTTTGCTGCTGCTAGACTTTATCTTGAATCCCTTTTCAAAAGTAAGATGACCTGTAGAATCATAGAATTGTTAAGGTTGGGAAAGACCTTTAAGATCATCAAGTCCAACCGTTAACCTAGCGCTGCCAAGTCCACCACTAAACCATGTCCCTAAGCACCACATCTACACGTCTTTTAAATACCTCCAGGGATGGGGACTCAACCACTTCCCTGGGCAGCCTGGTCCAGTGCCTGACTACTCTTTCAGTGAAGAAGTTTTTCCTAATATTCAGCCTAAACTTCCCCTGATGCAACTTGAGGCCATTTCCTCTTGTCCTATCATTTGTTACTTGGGAGAAGAGACTGACCCCGACCTGAAACTGTATTGGCAGTGGGAACAGGAGTGATGATGATGCAAGCATCCAGGACCACACATCCCTCATCCCTAAGCACTGGCATATCTCCCAGGGCATTCAGGGTTGACCGCAGCAGGAGTGGCATGGACCAAGGGTTAACCAAGTTCAGAGGACCCCCTTGCAGATCCAACTAGCACAATCCCCCATGAGCTTAAAGAAACAAGTTCTACACATGCTTATAGCTGGAGATGTTCATGGTTTTACTGGGTCTATGGAAACTCTGAGGGCATCTGATCGCTGTGTGGATTTCTGTCTGTGTGGCACAATAAAGGCTGTTTTCTACATCCATACCTCAGCACCAACACGCAAGCTGCTACCAAGGAGTAAGCCAGGAGTGTCCCGATGGACATGAGATCCACAAGATCTTTCAAGTCGAAGAGAAAGGCCATAACAGCTGTAGGAGGAGGGGAAGGTGAGAGAGGGAAGAAAAATCAGTAACACAGCATAACCTGCACATCTCAGGAGTGTTAACGATGATGCAGCACACGTGTGACTGTTGCTCAGGACTCAGCTGTGGAGCTCGAGCTGTCCTGAGATAGGGAGAGGCAGGACTTGGCACATGAATACCCCGAGCCTCACAGGCTGTCCCAGCACAGCCTCAGTAGCTGGAACCAGAGGAATCATTTACTACAGCAAATGCCAGCTGTGTCTCACATAGGTATATTCACCCAGCTACCAGCAATGAGCAGGTGTTTAAGCCACAGCCTCATTGCCAGAGTCCCCCAGCACAGCTGCAGCACCCCTAAGGCCACAATTATCTCCTGAAAGTAGCTGGAGGGAACAGAGGATGGGCAGCATCTCGCTCCAGTGTCTCAGCTCAGCTGGGGCAAAACCAGGCTTGTGCGCACAACGGGACCAAGCACCAAGGAGTTCATCCTGAGTTAGCATGCCTCGTCATGGGGGTTTCCAGAAAAAGGTATAGACTGCCACCCCTTAGGGATTACCCTGCTTACACACCCTCACCAGGCAACCCCTGGTTGTACAGACCTTCGTATAAAGGCCTTCAGAAGGAGAAGCAAGTAAGTGGAGGACAGACGATCAGTCAGACATTCAGATGACGCCAACGGTCGTATGAGAGCGCAGGGACCTCAGAGCTGAGCCTGGCCCAGCCTGTCCTCACTGCACCGCCTGGAGTCCAACAACCAACCCAATCTTTAAGCTCAGCTGTCCCTGCAGCTTCATAAGCACTTTGGTCCTAGGTGCTACAGACCACTCTGAGGAGACCTGAAGGGACTGCAAAGCACATTTTTTTTACTTTATCTGGCTCTTTTTTCCCCAGTCTGGACCCGAGGCCGCCAGGTGCCAGAGGAAGGTGCCAGAGAAGCAGCTGTGAGGAGGCTCCATGTGTCCCAGCGGCAGGAGCTGAGCCATTTCACAGGAGCTCAGAGTCCACAGTGGCAGTTCAGCACCAGCTCCCCACCAAACATGGCATGTTCTCACACTGATGGCTCATCCCACATTTGCAGCAGAAGGTAAAGAGGAAGCAGCAAGGCTCTCCTCTTTGCTAGGCATCATGAGGAAGGGGGCGGCTACAAGAAGAGGGTAAGCCGTTCATCCTTGCTGTCTGGGAGGTTTAATTCCCATATTCCTGGGGGCCGGGAGAGGGAAGGGGAGGACGGATGGCTGCCAGCTGTGACTAACTGATTAACAAATGCCTGTGCTGCAGGGGCCATCTGCCTGTCTCCGGCTGCTCTGGTGTCTTCTGCCGAGCTGCTACTCACAGGCAGTGCAGTGTCTTCAGCCAAGCCAGGCCAACAGCCACAAGGATGCTGAGGCACCGCTGGCTGCCACCTTGCAGGGGGTTAATTATTTTTAAGGCCGGCAGAGCACCTATGGAGCAGATGAAGGCAATTCTTGGCATGAGACAGGATGTCAGCAATGAGCTCTGAGAAAGAGGGACAGGCACACAGCGAGCTATTCATGCTCACCCAGCTCCTCCAGGGCATGCCCTGGAAACCCAGGGCATGCTCTGGGAAGTCGTGCAATACATCCGATTAATAAGCGGGCTAGCATCAGGCGGACTTATCTGCCCCTAGGATGAGCTTATGTCTCCTTTCTGCGCATTTGTGTAAGTCTTTGGATCTTACCTGCAACGGCCCCTGATGTCACTGTTGCAATTACTGGAGTTTTTCTCTTCTCGTTGACCTTAGCCAAAAATTTAAAGAGAAGTCCATCTTCTGCCATAGCATAAATTATTCGAGGCATCGGAAACATGGAGCCAAGGAGACTAAAGACACAGAAGGGAGAATAATCTACTTATATCACCTCCTGCTGAGCACAGGCACACAAACGAAAGCAAGTTTATGGCAGTACAAACACAGAACAGGTGGCTTTCGTCCACTTCAGCTTCTCCTTCAAGGGCTCCCTCTACATACTCCTGTTGCTGACAGCTGGCAACTGAGGTGGGGCGCTCAGATTTTGTATACCTAAACTTAGCCACGGGGCATGAAAATAGCCTGACTTTCAGGTAGCAAAACAGCTGTAACTTCTATGAACCTCTATGAGTTGCTCACCTAAGTGAATATGTCTAAGTTGATCTGAAACAATACGTCTCCAGAGTGCAGAAGAACATGACATAGTTTGCCTCCAGCCTGCCCTGCCTCCCATCCAGATGGCTGTCCTGCAGGCGACCTGCAGACAGATGGCCCTGGATATGGTAAGGTCCAGAATATGCACCCTGCACTACCTGACACAAGTCTGCTCTCCACCCAGGAGGCCAGGATGTCTTGTGGACAAACCATGCTTGCACTTCAGAGTTGCCTCCATGACTTGGTCACTGAATCCATTTATATTCCAGAGATCCACCTGCTGGGTCTGCTGCTAAGATGGGAGTTTCTGAAGTGATACTGGTCATGTGCATCCCTGAAATCTATCACAGGGTGAAATCCTGGCCCTTTTGAAGTCAATAGCTCTGAATTTCATCCCTGGTCTCAGCTCCCTTGACCTAGGGGAACACAGTGAAGGCAAACCCCTGACATGCACCATTTTTTAAAGGAGCTGAAGACACGTTTGCCTTGAGAGATGCACAAAGGAAGAGCAGTGTCTCACCTTGTAGAAAGCGCACACAAGGAACCGACAGCCACTGCGTAATTGGCTCCACCCCACCGCACATATTTAAAGGCATTGGGTAAAGGGCTATTGGTATCCAGCTGGTAGTAAGGCATCATGAGTGTCAGGGCAGCTGACACGCCAAAATAAGCCACGAAGCAGATGAGCAGAGATGCCACGATGCCAATAGGAATAGCCTTCTGAGGGTTTTTTACCTCCTCGCCTAGAAGAAAGAAATAGAAATATCAGCTAAATGACGAGCAAGACTTCATGCCAACCTCGGGCATGCTGACTGGGGCTTTCAAGGGCTCCGTGGGCAGCGAGGTGCTGTTTGACTGTATGTGGAGCTGCATGCTGCCATAGCCTGCCCCAGCCTGTTGCTCCCACATCTGCTGCTCCTGTCACTCCTTCTGACATAAACATTTGTGGAGGCCTTGTGAACTCAAGCACAGAAACGATCCGGATTAAAAGCAGTCCTCTCCCCAAAAAGAGTTATTTTTACCTCCAATTAATCCTGCTATCCCACTGATGGTGCAGCCCCAAGAACAGTTCAATGATCACAAGTGATGGGACAAGAAATTATTGTGCAGTTGTCAGGCAGATCCTTGGGTGAGCATTTCAGTTAGCATCTCCACCAGAACTACTACACAGTGAACACAGCACCATAGGTGCCCAGTTCCAGGGAAATGCAGACTTTGCACAGCACCTGGAAATCATATGGATCTTCGAAAATCCCTCTTAAAAAAGGGACTCCCTCTAGTTTTTACAGAATTTTTTTGACAACCAAGTTGGGCCGAATGTGTAAAACAAAAAAATCATCAAAATTCAGGCACTGATTAATTAAGAAACAGCTTTGAGCCTTCCCTGTCCTCCAGAGCTGCTCTTCTCTGAAAGCAAGAGCTCCTGAGGTTTGGCATTTCAGGAGGATGAACCAATAAGCAGAGACCCATACACCTGTAAGTCAAAGGTAGATGAATGTGTTTCTCCTCCGAGGTGAGGCCCTAGAGCTGGCTGGAGTAATGGAGCCAGCACTTCTCAAAATCCTTGGAACAAGACGCAGTACTCCTTTATCTGTTTTTGTGATGATCTCTTCCTCCCTCTGCTCCAGCTTTGAAGCAACTCAGTTCTTGCCAAATGTGAAATTAAGGATAACCCTTCCTTTCTCCAGGGAACTGAGATTCTTCTTAGACAGGAGAAACATGACAATGCTGATGGTTTCTCTCTCAGAATAAGATCTCTGAACCTTTGGAGATAAAAACTCCCCCTATATTTTGAGCCACAGTTTTAGGCTGCAGATGACACCCTGTTTCTCTGGCTCTTTAAATATTCCAAGCCAGTGCAGCATCTTCAGCTGAAGGCACTTAAGAACCCTACTCCAGACTAACCTGTTGATTAAAGCATCATCTGGAGTTAGAGGTTCAAACTTCACCAGCCGTACAAAGCATCTGAACCTGGGCCTTCCCTGTTTGCCTAACTGGTAAAGCTGGCTGTGTTTTCTGTGGAGTCTGACCTGGTTCAGTGTTATCAGTGACCAACCATGGGAGTGGGCCGTGCAGGCAAAGAAGGGAGAAAGCTCATTTTGTGGGTTATACGGTCTAGCTGCCTGCCACAGCAGCTAGAATTCAACACTTGGGCACCCAGGGACTTAGACATACTCAGCACTTTGAGTATTAGGAGCAGCTGAGCCAAAAGTATATTTTGGGCTGAGGTTCAGAGGGATGATGAATGCAGTGCCCTGCATTACTCATTATCTGTGCTGTGCAACATTACTGAAAGCCAATCTACCAGCAACCAGGTTCATAACCAGAATGAAGGTATCTTCCCTCTTACCTGTAGTAGCAATACAGTCAAATCCCACGAAAGCATAAAAACACGTGGCTGCCCCTGAGAGAACTCCTTTCCATCCATAGGGCATAAACCCTCCAACACCGTAGAGCTTTTCTTCCTCTGTTAGACTAAAAGGCACGGCACTGGGTTAGAAGTCATCCTGCCTAGGTGGGAGTAACAAAACTATTCGTATAGCTCATAACAAAACCCACAGCTGGAGTTTGAAGGAACGTGCTCTCCCTTTCACACGCCAGCACACAAATACCAGGCAAAAATGCTAAGCCCTACCCACTGCTGAGCTTTGGACTGGCCTGCAACAGCCTGGGGAATGCACAGAATAAAAATGGTTCATGGTTTGTTCCCACCACCTGTTTTCTGGGGCGGATAAAAATGTCTTGGCAAAGACAGGGAGAAAATAGCATGAATATTAAAATTCCTCTCCTAATATTACTGCATATGTGTAGATACACATATTCATTCAAACATAAGCTTTTGAAAAAGCACAACATATAATTCTGAAAACTGAAGACTGAGAAAAATGTAAATTATCCACTTCTCACCCAAGATGGACTCAGATAAAGTGTAGGTGAGTAGACGTCAGAGAGCAATACAGGGTTCCATGACTGTCTAAAATCCACCCAATCCTCCATTCTCAACTTCAAAATTCCCTGTGCCAAGTTGATACCCAAACCGTGCTTGCGACCCTGAGGGAGGAGAGGAGCCTGCACCCCTGACGCACCAAATGCTTTGCTCAGCCTCATCCAAAGTTCATTCAAATCAACAGACAGACACCTACTGATCCCAGTGCACTCTGGATCAGGACCTCAGATCCATGTTCCTCTGTTGAGTCATGTACAACATACCCTTCAGTTTAAGTGACTTAGGTCACTTTTTCAGCCTTTGTAAAGGTGAATTAAGGCAATTAAATTAAAGTAAATCCCAACTCTGCAAGTCTTATCAGGTGTAAGCATCTGAACTCTCTTGTAGAAGCTCTGTTGAGACTTAGATGAAAACTGGCCTGTTATTTGCAGAAATGGCACAACCCAAATGTGGATTACTCTGGAAATAATGACAAAGTAAAAGTAAACCCCAGACAGATTTTACAAAAATAGTAAGTGCTATGGGTCAAAGAGCTACAGTTACACTTTGAAGCTATTGCACTAATTGCTCCTTGCATGGGAATAGCAGTAGGGAAGGAGGGGGAACCTTTCCTATAGAAGCAATTTTTTCGCAGCGGGCTGAATTTTGCAGAGAGGCTCAATAAGTAGCTTGTATAACAAGCCAAACTTGACCCATGTAACATTTATGAATCTCTCCAGTTTTTGCCAAACTATGCTTCCTTGCAGACCAGCATAAAGGGTTTAGATAGCAAGCAAGGACTGAGTTATGTATGTGGAGTTATTTAAAGGCTCTCATTGTGTGTTGTACAGTCTCAAGCAAAAATGAACAGCCTTGTATCACTGGTAACCCTTATAAGCTCCTTAATTTTGATCTTGTACAGGAAGACAGAATTTTGGCCAAGCAGTAAAATGTCATTAAAAATGGATTCATGATATGCTTGCTGCAATGCCTTAAAATAATCTGCAACTCGCCTTCATTTTATTGAGGCATTTGGGACAAGGTCTCCAAAAGGTACAACGGTGCCTCAAGGATATTGCCCAAGTGTCCAAAGAAACTACAGAGCTATACTTGGTCACAGCTTGATACAGGCACCAGAGCCAGCCTGGTGTAGCCCTGAGCAGGAGGTTGTCTAAAAGCTCTTTCCTCTCAAATTCGGATGCTGTATTGGTCATGAGGCTGGGAACGGTCAGTTCTGCAGTGGCCCTGCATAAGCACGTTGACACAGCTTACCTGCTATCAGTTTCAGCCCATCAGCACAGCCTGCTTTCAGCAAATGCCCGCCGAAACCAGCTTTGCCTCCAAGGCGTTGGCAAAGCAGGGAGCCATCCCATTTGCTGGTTTTCTAAATCACTCCACAGACCCCCCTATAAACTCGCCATTGAAAATGCATCAATTTCAGAGCTGAGAAGATCCAACCTACTTGGCTCCATAAATGCTGTGGCTGATGTTGTAAATGTCCTGTTCGGTCAGCTGCCAGTTTTTAACAGACCCTTTCACAAAGCCGGAGACCATGACGAACCCGAGGACGAGGATGTTGATGCAAGTGAACACTTTGTTCACCAGGGCAGATTCCTTCACGCCAAAAATTAAAAGCCCTGGGGAAAAAATGGCAGATAGGCAGTCAGGTACTTCGCCACCAGCAGCAGGCACTGCAGGCTTGCAGAGGTAGCCCAGCTCTGGTCATGCTGTGCTCTGCCCAACTTATCACACCTCATTTCTGCACAAAGACAAGTAGCTCAGGTAGGTCAGGATTAACTCACCCAGAAAGAGGATGAGGACTCCAGCCCAGACATTACTACTGCGGGAGGTGATGCCCCTTCCCACCCAGCATGCCCATTTGGCACATGCCCCTGCTAAACTGCTTTGCTAACACAGCTAAGCTGCTCCCACTGCTTTCAACGCCAGGTCTGGTCACCTCATGGTTCTATGCTGTGCCACCTAGACCCAGCCTCAAACTCCACCCAGAGACCTAGAGAGAGCACCCCAGGTGGTTTTTCATGAAGGAACATTGCCTTAGAGGTCTTGGCCACATGCAGAAGTTATGAACAACATTCAACTTTCCTTAGAAGCAGGGGAAAATACGAGCACAGACCAAATCCAGGAGGACAGCTACTTCTAGTGCTGAAAACAGAGAAGAAGGTGGCATCTTGGGAATCCTGCTCCCATTTAAATCAGTGGGAGCTTTGCCAGTGAGTTCAGCAAGAGCAGGATTTCAGCCTGTGATCTTAAGAGCATCCATCTGAAGAAGAACACATTTACAGGCTTTGGCAACCAGCATCTTGCTGGGGCATAGCTCAGCTTCTCAGAATGACAAGCTCTGGTAACTTGTGTTTGCTCTTCAGGTGCCTGACTTTCAAGAAGCCAAACCTTTAACCCAAATCTAAGGTGGCGGCTGAGGGAGACGGTAAAAAACTTCACATGGGCCTGAGGGAGAAGCACAACAGGGTGTCCTTACTGCTACTCCAAGACACTTCAAGGAGAGGGGAGCAACCTGTGCACTCACCTTTCCTTCTTTTAAAATAGGAAATAAGCTGAGACAGCCACATCAGAGAAGTGCTTGATAAAACTGCATACCTGTCCAGGAAAACTTGTAAGGTACCTTGTAGAAATCTGAAGCTCAAGACGGTGTAAGCAAAAATAAACTTGTAGTGTTTATATTTGGGACTAAAGCTGCTGATTCAGCAGGTTTTTGTAGAAAAGAATGGTTTGCATTTTTTATTAAAATCCAGGGAATTTGCTCCATGCAGGGGAATAAAGCCATTGGTAATCTGTATAATTTTACACCTCTGTAGTGCTAAAATGAGGAGTCCTAAATTTTGTAAATTGTATCTGAGGTGAAAGACCAGATTCTAATTTGAAACTAGAGCAATTCCTATTATATACAAATGAACAAAGAGGAAAATCTTCTCTCCCATTCAGATGTAGCCCTGAAAACAAAGGACTGCTATTGACTTCAGCAGTCCTCGATATAGTCCTAGATCCAAATGCAAACCTAGATGCCGAAGAATCCCTTGCTTATGAAGCCTGTTCCCAGGAGCACAGCTCATGCTGTGAGACAGCCATCCTGATCAGAGTAGGAAATGTCAGGATAACTTTGTTGGGGTGACACAGCAGCTTCTGTGTTCTGAAAACCACAGAGGGGTACATAAGAAGCGTAGTTTTTTAAATTTGCCTAAATTTGCCAATGCTTTGCAAGATCCAGTTGGAGTAGAGGTAAAAGTTCAGAAGGATTTTAATTTTACAAATTTTCAAAACTTTTCCAAATTCTGATCAAAGCCTTGGCACATTTTTAGAAAAAAAGAGGACCTAACTGTTTATCACACATTTATTTCTCTGGAGTCTTAAAATCATTGCTGTAAACTGAAGCACATATATATTTTAAAAAAAACCCAGAACTGTAGTACATGAGGTTCTTACTGAGTCCCGTATTTTTTTCCTCATGCTACTGGCTCAAGGCACTGAAAACTGGTAGATTATCAAAGGGGGAACAAGGTTGATAGCACAACAGAATGAAATTCTTGTGTAACAGGATTTGTGGAGGGAAGGATTAAACTTCAATACCTGATTTGAGGATAACAAGTCATCTTTTCTTTTCTTCCTTATATAAAATTTGATTGAAGGTTTTAAAAGTGGCTCAAAAAATATCAAGAATGCTGCCCTCTAATTAAAAACCTTGTAAGCAGGCTATGCCCTGTGCTAAGTCCATGGCAGCTATATAGGTCAATCCAACACTTGTAGCAAAGAAAGAGTCTTTTGATATGTTGTCCAAAATAAATCAGGACTTTGTGCCTATTCCAAAAGCAAATAATGAAATTACAGAAGGAGGAGGTCCACGACTCACAAACCCCTCCAAGGTTTTACCTGTTAGGATGATGATTATCACCACGGCGAAGATGTCGGGGTATTTTGCTAGCACTCCGGGAGCATCCATTGTCATGTATTTTTCACAAAATTTTTCAATATGCTGGCCTATGATTTCATCAAACGTTGCACTCCAAGCTCTGGCCACGCTCGAGGTTCCTGCCAGAGGACAGAAAGGATGCAGATCACCCTTCGTGGCTGGCACACGTTCCAAACAGGGGGCACCTTGCACGGCTTTTCGCCATGGAGGGCCTCAAAGCAACCTTGCATGTGCTTCCCAGGTGCTGGGAGGAGCCTTTCCCCTGCAGATCCAGCCCACGGCCTGTATTCATGCCTGGCATCTGCTTTGATAGTAACACACACAGGTGGTGGGTCTTGGACTCCTACTCAGCTGACAAGATAAAAAAAAGCCTTATAGTGGTTTGGCTTCATAGTAAATCTTGACTTTGCCTTGAGATACAGCCTAGACTGACTTTTTCCTTACGCCCCCAGCAGCCTGAACTTCCCCCTAACCTGATAATTTCTGCTACAAGAGAGGTCTGAGCCTCTTCTCATACGCGTGGCAGCCCTGGCCAGGTGACTGCAGCCCTGGCCAGGTGACTGCAGCCCAGGCAGAGGGACCTTACAGAAGACAGCCAGCCTCCGGCAGTGCGATGCTGGAGCACCAGAGCCTGGACCACGACATTTGCCCAGCTCTGTAAGCTCTGCACTCCAGCAACATGCAGGTCCGCTCCAACCTCTGGTGCTAGAGCATCCGAGCGGGATAAAGACTCAGATATAATTTATAGGTTATCTGAGCATAAGTCAGCCTATTGCAGGATGCTGGTGATGATCCTAGCAAGCGGCACGACTCTTACCTGCAGCACATGCTTAGACTTCCCCCTCCACAGCTGCTGTTTGCTGTGGTTCCCGAGAGCACCAAACCACACACAGCTTGCCAGGGTGAGGACTGAACCTGGGGTCTCAGGAAGACCAAGTCCAGGACATTGTCTGGGCCAGAAGAGTCATTTCAGAGAACTGAAATAGTAACAATGAAGAGCTACCACCAGACAGTGACAGCATTGTGTAAAATAAGTAGGCTTGGGTCTTACACAGTACACTATATATAACAGCATCTAATTGCATGATATAATTAATACTGTACATAATTACCTAGTTAAAAGAGGCTGGTTTGGTTTCGGTTTGCAGAGCAATTCCTCAGAGGACACCATCAGGGCCCCCTTCTACCTAGCACAGTTTGTCCTGACACACTTACCTATGGGCGGCTGTTCAGGTCCCAACTCCGGCACCTGCAATCGTGTCAAACAACGCCCGTGCTCACCTACAGCGAATCCCTCTGGAGCAGCGGTGGGCAGCACCTGCAGCAAAGCTGGGAACACTCACTGCCCCAATCCAGCTTTGCAACACTATAAAAATAAGCTGCAGAACAGACCTGTTTCAAGACTCTTCTGTTCACTGAGACAGCAAAGTGCACAGTGTGAATTCTTTTAAAGAGGTGGGATATCAGTGCCATCAAATTAATCTTGAAAAACTCCAAAAGTTATTGTATACCACATTACAATTTTTCATCTTAACTCTGGCACGATTTGAGGGAAGAGACTATTTCTTTAGTGCTATTTTTTTTGTCATGGCTCTAATATTTCATGTTCTAAGACAGGAACAACCAGCTCCTGCATGTGTTGTATTAGATGCCAGTTGCTTGGATGCCAGTTCCATGTAACTATCAGGCATTTATCCTAAACTCTCTGTAACCAACAGCTTTGAGGGAGCGGGGAGAATCTGACATTCTTCCAACATCGCAGACACCTGGATAATATCTGATTGTTGCTAGTGAGCACGGTGCAAAGACATTCTGCTTGTATCCAGGCGGATTTACTTGTTCTGGGTCAGCATAACCTCGCCAGGTTGAGCTGGCTCCTGCCCGCAGCACACGGCTCCCAGGAGAGCGGCTGAGCTCAGGTGCAGGGCTCCCTGAGGGAACAGGCACAGGCTAGGAGCTCACCATGTGCCCCAGGAAACCCCAGCAGCAGCTACTCGCCAGGGATGCTGTTACTCATCGTATTACCAGCTCCCACCAGCTTCCAGTTCCTGAAATGTTTCCCACAACCTGGCGTGGTTCCTCAAACCCACATCATCCCAGAAGAAAGTTCACACCAGATCCTGGTCCTGGACACCTTCTTCCTTCTGTCTAGACCACTACCAATCAGTTGCACGCCCATTTTTGCTCGTCACCCACCTCCAAGACCCCATACCAGGCTTCCCTCAAGCCAAATCACTTCAAATAATTACAAGCTATTGGCCACCCATCCTGGGACCCCAGGATTTCTTTTTCCACCTCCACAATACTTCTGAACAGATGTCTGAGAACCTCAGCGTGAAAACACCAAATGGGCTGAGCCCCACTTGGTTTCAGTGGCACTGCTTGACATTTTCTGCAGCATGACTGAGAAAAAAATTGGCTTTCTGCCCCTCTCAGCCCCCGGTTCTGAACTGCAGGATCTGCCTACCAACATATCTTTCTCCTCCACACCCCCTGAAGCTGCTGGGAGTTGTCCTTGCTCACAAGGGGGACAATTCACATCAGGAGAAAGGCTGGGTAAGATAAAGAGACGTGCTATAGCTCACATCCTCCCCCAGCTCTTTTTCCTGCTTAGCCATCCTTCCTCCCAAATTATGAGGAAACCAGTTGCAAACATGCAACTGTCACAGGACTGAATTAAAAGTAGCGAAGTTGTGTTCGAACAAATTCATGGATAATATCTACCTATTTTTTACTGAATTTTCTGCCTTGTGATAATATACTGAGCAGCCAACTCTGAAATAGAAATTGAGGCAGTGGTTCAAAAGCCATTATGAGAGGACAAAAAAAAAAAACCTCAGAAATACCAGCCTCAGCCCAGATCCTGGAAGTGTAATGCTCAGCATGTAAATCTTTTCATCATGCATTTGCAGAATCAGGTTTTGGGACAGCATCCACAGCTCTGTCAGTCATTTTGGCGGTCCAGTATCATGGTGGGAAGGGCCACATAACTAACTAGATGAGGAGCATGGAGGAGACGATTTATCATTACCTTTCTGGAACAGAAGATAAATCACCAAGAAATCTGTTTAATTTTTCTACGTGTAGCCTAAGCAGAGTCCATTTTAGAAGTCTGGAGGAAATTATATGCTTAGTTTTTTTAAAGACTATTTTTATCCCCTCCTTGCAGTGAACCTGATTCATAAAAGAACCACAGGACTCAGATTTCCTAAGGAGATGAGTTTAATTGACTCTGGCTTTTCATCCTCTCATTTCTTATTTAAAAAAACAAAAAAAAAAAAAGGAGGAGGAAGAAAAGGTTTCAGGTAGCACACAGAGCAGAGCCAGCACGATCTCAGACAAGCAGCTGCTACGTCACTATATTGCTCTTGATATAATCTTACCCTCCCCGACACCATGGGAACTAATCTCCAAGGCAACACTTACACATCCCATAAAATGCATTTTAAAAAAAACCAAAACTTCCTTTAATAATTTAGCATAACATTGGTTTTCATTTTAACTAGTAAGTCTTGGCTCTCAACTGGCAAGTTGGTTGCAGCCTTAATTACAGGCATGATGACAAGCAGCATGCCCAGAATGTGCTTGAAAAGACACAAATCCTCAATTAGCGAAGTGTGGCTTAGTTTTAACGTATCAGCTGAGTTGTACGCTGCATGCTCTGAGCTTGATCCAAGGCCTCTCCAAGTGGGAGGCAAGGGTTTAGAAGGGATTTGGTTTGGATGTTTCAGAGACTGTGAACCTGCAGATCACCCTAAGCTTAATCCTGCAGCCATTCACAAGACAAAACTCTGATCTCCAGATACTTTAAACAGGTCTCAAAGGGACCAGAAATTAATCCTTGATCATCGGGGGTACAGATGATGCTGTGTGAAAGCATCCTTCCATCAGCAGCTTCTTTCTCAGCAGAGAGTACATGCGTTTTCTCCCTGGCAAGTGTGCAGCAGCCAGGGGATACCAAAGGGATGACGTGGAGATTCAGAGGAAGTCGCAGCAGCAATAATCTGGCTTCAGGACAAACCCTCAGCCCAAAGCACACCACTCACCTCGCCGACTGACAGGAGCCACCAACAATGCACCCTGCAGATGAGTCCTGAAATCCTCGGTGAGTGCAAGAGTGCAGCGTCTATTTTGTAACAAGAATGCAGGCGCCCAAACAAGGCTGATCTTACAAGCTAGGCTGCAATCCTGCACTAAAGCTAGGGTCTCGCAGCGCAACCACCGTACTTACCGATAACATAGGAGAGGATTAAATTCCACCCTGTGATGAAGGCCCACAGCTCGCCCACAGTCACGTAGCTGTACAGATAAGCTGATCCTGTCTTAGGAACTCGAGCACCAAATTCTGCGTAGCAGAGTCCAGCCAGCACTGAAGCCAAGGCGGCAATCAAGAAGGAGATAACAATGGCAGGTCCCGCGTTTTCCCGTGCCACACCCCCAGCCAATACATAGACACCTGCACCCAAAGTGCTGCCTACACCCAGAGCCACTAAGTCAAATGTGTTGAGGCATCGTGAGAGTTGACTGTGTTCTCGAGTACAGTCCACATTTTTCCGGCGAAGAAGCTGGTTTCCAAAATTGACAATTTTCTGACACTCCATCTTTGTGTTCAGGCCTGCAAGAAAGATGCTGCCATTATTACCTGGACCAGGACACCTCCTGAAACAGCATCACTGCACAGGTACACTGCTACAGCCCTGTTACATTTCAACAAATGAATCTTCCCACTTTCCACCTTTTTACATGGCAAAATGTCTCCTTCAGCATTTTACCTAGGCTTAGCACAAGGAATTAAAACAGACAAAACCAAAGTATTTTCTGCTTCCCACTCCCACTTGTGCTGCGAAACCTGTGCGACCCCGGGAGGGACACGGCACTCCACCCCAGCTCCCACCCCGCTCCACAGCCATCCTGTCCAAAGACAAGTGGTCAAGCCAAAAACGCAAAGCCCGTCTTTCAGATTTCAGAGCAGTTTTCCTGGGCTGGGAATTAAAAAAAAGACAGATATACATAGAAAGACATACTTATTTATATTTTTAAGTCTCGGGGTGAACTAAGAAGTGAGCGTTACATCCCAGAATAAGGCACCACACATGCTACTGTCCCTAGAGCACAACACGACCACGTGCCGTGGTCAGTTGGCACCACCTGCAAACAGACCTGCCGGGGCATTTCCCCTCTCTGAGCTCCAGCGACAGGCCACAGCACAGGCTTCTGTTGCCTACGACCGTGCAGGCTGAAACAGATACAATTTAGGAAAAAGGATATACAGAATTGAGTTTTGTTTAACTTGGTTACGCCAAGGCTCAAGCTATTTAGCATTTGCAACAACTGAAGTGAGAGCACAGTGAGGCTCCCTGAACTTCTCTGTCCCACCCAGGACAGAAGCACTGCAGGGGGTGGGTGTTTAATGAAACCCTGGGGCAGGGTTTCCAGCCATGGTACCATTTCAGCAACTGCACTGCTCCTGTGTATGGACCCGCTGGCACAACCAAACAGCGGCGTACAGCGGCCTCAGCATGTGAGCAGCTCAGATGCATCTCCTCTGCTTGGGACTTTATGATGGGATTAGCATCAGGGTAAAGCAAACCTCTCTCTGTGGAGGGATCCCTTAGGAAATCCTTCTGGAGTTTCTCTTCCCGTGAGAGATATGTATCTTGCAGTGCTACACCATGGCAAGATTTTGCTATGCAACTCATCAAGCCTGCAAATTCGACCATCTGCATAGGCGTCCACCTAACACAGACAGTAACAGCACTCATTAAAAGCTACAATCGGTCAAACCAGCATGGCCAGCAGTGGGGTCAGCTCCTCAAGGACATCCGTGGAACCAGTGTCCTTAGGGAGTCTTTCCCTCCAAGATTTACGTCCTTGGACACAGCCTGGGTATGGAAGTTTTGTCTTACTCTTTCTGAAAAAAAATAAGTATATTGCTTCAAAATTGTCCTTGCCTTTAGAAAGCGGATAGAGAGCTCATCCTCACAGCATTATCTGAATCCATGAGCACAGCATTAGAAGGAATTTCTTGCTTCTTACACTGCCAAGTCTAGCCCCAGTTGTCACAGGCAACCATGGCATAACATCAGGCCTTCCCTTAAAAACTTCTAGGGGCCTTATCTCCACTGTTGGGAAGCTCCACCAACACTCATCTACTCGCCAGCCAAAATGCTTTAGTAGGCAGTGTTTACTCACATGCTCTTGTGCCAAGAATGGCCTTTCCCTGCTCAGGTGGTTACCCCAGTGTACCTTTAGAGATCAGTCATAACCTCTCAGCCTTCATTCTGGTAAGCGACCCAGGCCCCAAAGACACAGGCAGTCCCTTGCCCTGTCTACAACTGTTCACCTCTCAACCACCCTCTGAGCAGCAGTATATCCCATTAGCACCCTTCTACTTGTTGCATCAAGAGGAACCATCAGGAGAAGCAACAAGAGCATCCCAAGAGCAACCACTAAGAACTCCAGTAGGTATCTCCTCTACCAGCGTCTGTTTTCTTCTCCCAGTCCCTTTTGCACCGTGCCAGGTTCCTGTTAGTCCTCATCTTCTTAAAGAACTGCCTGTGTGGCACCCCATCAAAAGCTTTACTCAAGTCAAGATAAAGAAGAGCTATCATTCTTCCATTTAACCTTAAAAGTAAAAAAAAACCAAAACCAATAGTGCCCCACCTTCCCTGTGCCTCTTATCAAATAAAACTGTCGGGTGAATCTGCCAGTGTCTCATAGGTAAATTCACTTATTTCTTCGCTCTTCTCTAGTCAATGGGCACCACCTCCTACTTTGACAGAGGTTTCACTTTGCTGGTTCACCGCCACTTTTATGCCCTGGTTCTTTCTGATTACCCATCCCTGACCCTCCTCTTCTGAGTGCTGCTCCCACTGGCTGTAGCTTTTTTCCTCAGCCCACACTCTGCCATCCCAGCATCATCGTCCTCATTCAGAATTTGGCTCTCCACAGCTAGGATGTTTCTGTAGGACCTACTGGGTTACTCCTAATTCAGATACACAGAAAACCACATACTAAAACAAAGCAGTGTTGGGGGAGCTTTAACAAGCTTCTTCACCTTGAATGGGCCTCCAGTGGAGGAAGTCCAACACTTGTGACAAGCACCAAGAAGCTTTGAACGCCCCCACAGAGACACACTCCAACCAAAGACTACAAGCAACCTAAGCCAGCCTGCTGGCACTGACAACAACCTACCATGCTTTTACGAACAGATTTGGCTCCAGGCACCAAAATCACTACTGTAAGACCTGCGTTCAACTATTTAATGCCCATTAGCATTTCTGTTCTGAGCATAAGAGTACTTTAAAAGTGAATGTCCCAGTTGTCCCCATTTGCCATGCTTCGGTTCACACTGCAGAGCACTCGTGGAGTGCACAAACCCGATACTACCGGGATGAACCTAAACCTGAGGACGCACCCCAACACCTGATGGGTGCTCAGCCCACAGGAACAGCTACTGCAGGATAACCTCCCCTGTAACATGTGTTGTGCAGACGTCAGATTCTCAGCAGCAACTGTTTTGCTCTGCAAATCTACAGGCTGCCTGGTCACAGCCTATGAGGATGAAGGGTATCTTCCATCTCAGACTGCATCCTGTAGCTTCAAGAAGCCCCGGCCTGATATGCACACTGCACCATTAAACCCAGCTTCGGCAGCAGGGCTTTCAAATGTTTCTTCGTTAATTATAGTACCTTATATACCAATAATGGAACAGCAGTATACATTGCACACTAACATCAATAGTATGCTGAGAATAATGTGTAGGCAAAAAAATTGCTAAATGCAATTTACAGTATGGTCAAGTGAGATTGGTACTTCATCAGTTCCAGTTAAAACCCAGTGTAAGAGATGGGAAGATACATGCTAAGAAACTTAATTAACCGAGTCAGCTATTAAATCCAATGCTGCAATTTTGTCGCCACAGCATCAACTACAAAATCAAAAATCCTCTTCATTTTTCCAAGACACCAGTCATAAACCCTGGCTTAAATCCCCTTCCCTTGGCCTTATACTAACTCCCCTACCACGAGAAAGTAATTACAACTGCAGGAACAAGGCTGAGCATTTAGAAGTCCCACCGTGTCAGGAATTGTCTCCTCCACCAACAGCTCTCAAACGTGCTCCCAAGAGACACGGATTCAGACTAATGGAGAAAGGCAGGTTTCAGGCCAATCTTACAAAAATCTCATTTGGTGAACCATGGGAATTCCCCACACATACAGAGAGAGAAAACTATTTTCTCCCTTCAGAAGGAAGACAGACCTGTTTACCTAAGTGTATTCAGATGTCAATTTGCTCACGCAGTCTCCTTCCCACTTGAACCTTACCCAAATCCATGCAGCCAGGATTGCTTTCAGCTGGACACCTGCCCACCTCCCCAAAGGCAGGGGCAGGGCAGTCCTGAAGTTTGAACTGGGTGACAACAAGAGTGCTGCACTGGAGCATCCCGTATGAATTTCATTGCTTTCCAGGACAAGACAAGTCCTAGGCTTTGCTTAACTCCCACCAGAGCGATGCAGAGATCCTATTGATGCCTGCATCCTACGAAGACCACAGCAATGGGGCCAACTCACCCACCCTGCCCAGTGGCGGTGGTGGTGCTGGTTGACACTCGGTCTGCAGCTCCAGGAAATGGGGAGGATCCCACTGTTGTGTACTGAGAAAAAAACGCTACAGAAGATACAAAAAAAGCCCTCCAAAACAAAACAAAGAAATCCCTGCCATAAACTGCAGCCTACTATTAGCAAGATACCCACGGGAGATGTGTTAATGGATTTCTTTTCCAAAGGTAGTCTGAAAGTCAAGACCAGTTTGACTCAGAACAAAGCTGCATTTCTGGACAAACACGGGTTTATTCTGTGGCACAGAAACATCAAGAAATGCCAAAGGACTGGTGAAATACGGTTTACTTCTTGCTAAGTCAATATTTATGGCAAGGTTTAGACATTCGATGGCCTGAACAGAGGAGTTAGACGCAACACAGAAGAATATGGGAGAGTCCCAGCTGAGACTATTAATAAAGACAGAAAATGGAAAGGAGGTGGAAAGATGGCCCAGCTCAGCGAGAAGCTGAGCGATGAGCCAGGGAAATCTGCAGAGATGCAGTGCAGCTGGGCAGGGCTTACCTGCCCTTTGCATGGAGCCGCTGGGCAGGCCCAGATGGACCCCTGAGGCTGACGTGGACCAACAATAGGGGAATACAGGAGAAGCTCGGAGGAGATCTTCCTGAGACATTTCACCCTGGGTGAGGCTACAGGTCCAAGCCTCCCCAAACACCAGTGACTTATGCATTGTTTTGTGTTCCTCAGGTTTTGCACCTCCAAGTTGACATCAAGCTTGCTGAGCATACTGGGCTTCATCCTACAAGGTGCTGAAGATCTCTTACACAGAAAATCAACGTGAGGGAGGAGGGTATCTTGCAGGGTTGGATCACGTAATGTGTAGAAAGAAAAGGTTTGTGATGTGCACTCACTCATCAACACGTGGGTTTCTACAACGCCTACACAAAGGGAATGGGGCTAATCCTAAGAGCTAGGTGGCACTAACAATACCCTTGCTTGCAGTATTTAAGTAACCTACCGTTGCCATACACCACACAAAGCTCCAAGGAGGACGTGCT